AACTATTTTGGGCTAAAACTCAATGGTTTGTCCATTATAACAAAGGAAAGATAGAATCGGTGTAACCATGGTGTTCTACAATTTAGCATGCATGAGATCACTATGATGATCCAAACTTGTGCAGAGACATCTCAGAAGTATGTTAGTAACATCAATATGGCTTAAAACAAAACAAAATTAAAAATATGAATTTTTCAAGAATGTGAAATCATATATGCCATGCGATGGGGTTTCATGTGTTTTGGAACATCAAAACCGACCCAACCTTACTTTATATGATTGTTAGGAGTGAATGGGAGGGTTATTTTGTAGTGAAAGGATTTGTAACAAGGGTTTCAAGATTTTAGGGTTCTTAAAATTCTTTGATCTTTTTTAACAAGATTGTGGGGCAAGGTTTTCGTGTTCTTGTATGAGAATGGATGAGAGAATATATAGGTTGAAATTAGGGCAAAGATATTGGCTTGGCCTTTGTGTAAGAAGGCCTTGTCTTATTTCATTTAATTTTGACTTTTAAATGAATAAAAGATCATAAATAAATAAAATAAATAAAGTAAATCAAAGGGAGGTGTATAAATAAGTCTTTAGGTGCACATGAGATATAGAACTCGCTTGGACTCTGAAATAATAACCCAATAGCCCAAAATATAAAGTTTGCTCAATTTAAACTTCATGTATTTGCTCAAAATTTCCCAACTTGAAATGGTCATAACTCTCTCAATTTTCATCTTTTGAAGGTAATATTTGAATTTTGGGAAATCTTAAGATGTCCTCTAGAATATCTCTTTTGATTGTTTTTTCATTTGGATACTTTATCTTGATGTAAGTTGCCTTGACAAAAAAGTGTCTTTTTGTTGACTTTTGAAATGACATGTAATGCATTGACTCATATCTCTCAAATGAAGCATTTTTTGGACTTGAACATAGATATACAAAGTTTTAGAGAGTTAAATTTCCTTCAATATGGGCTTTGGTTTGGGAAAAGTTTATGAAGCATGTGAAAGTTATGCTTGGTCAAAGTTCAGTTGACTTCTCCTAAGGAAATCCTAATTTGGCAACTTTTGACTTTTGATGATTTGAGGGCTTTTCTTGAGGAATTATGATTAACCCTTGATCAAATTATGAATATCACTTCAAATTGTTGTTGTTGACCAAAAATCTTGAGGTTTGACTATATGTTGACCACATTTGACTTTTTACCCAATACAATTGATTTTGAGTCATCTGAGCAATTAACTGAGCAAACTTGTGATGTAAGGCTTGAAACATGATATGAGCATCCTTGTGGACATATGAAGACACATGAAAACCACTTGAGACCTTGGAAACCAAATATTTCTTGAGAAATACAAAATCCCAGTTGTGGATCCATTGCTTAGGAGGAGAATTTGTCTGATTAAGTCTTAGGCAACCTTGAGCAAATTAGGACCTTAGGTGAATGTCTTAAATGAAAATGGGAGGAAACTGTAGTTCTTTTAACACTTTATTTGTTGCTCGAAGAAGTGTTAATCAATTTTCATGAAGAGATTTGAACATAAACACTATACGAGCAACAACTCTAGTGTTCATTACAATGTTCTACAAAGATGTATATGACCAGAAGTTGAGTAGCATCTTGTACTCTTGCTTCTTATGTTTCATTCAAGATGCATATGATGATAGTTGATTGGCATATTGTTGAAATCTTCTTTCTTTTCTCTCTTCTTTGGTGGTCTTTAAAATATATATGTGCTCAAAACACTTGTGTAATCTACTTAGAAGAATCATTCATGTAAACACAAGATCACCATAAACTGTTGTTGATTGATTCCTTGGGATACTTGGTGAAATTAGGATCTCAAGAAGATAATGGTTGCATTCATTATGGGAAATCCTGATAGGAGATCTTACGGGATCAGATTCTCTTGGATCAATGGTAGTCATATCTTAAAGGGGACCGATTGATGGTCAGTCTCTTGTGAGATCACTAATGGATATCATTGAAAGGAAATCATGGTAGGAGATCTTGAGGGATCAGATTCTATTAGTTTAATAATTTTTATATTCGTTAAATCGGATCACTGAACATATCAAAATCATTCAACAATTTCCATGATTCTAAGCTAAAGTTTTGCAATATATTTGATTTGTAAGTGACAGAATGTAAAAACATATAATTGATAAAGTAAGGCTTTAGAGAAATAAGCTTGTTGGGATTGGATTTCACCCACATATTAAATATGCAAATCACTGATCAATTATACACAATATAAGTATGCATCATTATCATCATGTATCGCTCACAAACAAAGTTTATGTCTAAACTTTTGACGAGGTTTCTACCTTATGTTTATTAAATAATACGACAGTATTAAGAATCGATACTTACAGTGAATATTAAACCTAAATCTATGTCTAGCCTTTAGAGTTTAACATATGATTATCTTGGATCGAGATTAGAATCGTATTTCTAAATATCAATTCAAACCAATGAGTTAAATTGTAAAACAAAGATAATATCAAAAAAGATTCATAAATGAATTGCATATAACACCAGGATTAATGCAAATACATATTATTTTGGTGAACTACGACCAATCCCAACAAGATAGGGATTTAGCTACTCATGGTAGCTTGATGCACAATGGAAGATTTGAGATGAACGGGCATAAACGATGATTTCCCGACTCTTGATGTGTATCAAACTCCTCTTCCTTACTTCTTCTCTCATATTTCCTATTCTTTATTGAAATTACAGAGTATGATACAAGATTAAAGGATGATGTCTCAACTGAACTGATTTTGTCCCTATTTATAGCAATTTTACTCTGTCAAGTTTTCTTAGCGAAATAAGTTCTCTTAGCAAACTTACTTTTCTTTTTCATTTTCAAACCTCCTTCTGAACTCGCCAAAGTTCCCTTAGCGAAATAAGTTCGCTTATCGATTTTTTTGATGTTTGAAAGTTGAAACTCTTTATTTCCATTCGCGGATCCTCGCTTGGGGCGAAATTTGGTTAATTTGCTTCTGTCTTGACTTCCCTGGAGCTCTCTTAGTGAAGTGTCTGATTTCTGGTTTTTGTAACTTTTTGTCCTGTCTTCGCTGGAGCTCGCAATCTCTCGCTTAGCGAAGTGTCTAATTCCTGGTTTTTGTTTAAGGGAAATAACCAGCAAAAATGCAAACCAAATCAAATTAATCTTGCATAAGACTACTTTTATTCATTATTTTGGGGTTTTCATGTTAGAATCTTGTAATTTAAGTAAGATAAATGCCATGTTTTAATGTGATAATTCAATATGAATCAAACACTTATCAATCAATGACCTTCTCAAACACATTTATATCCACACACTGATGGATATAGAACAATGTCATCTTCTTCCTCATTTCACATTGCATGTTTCTTTTCACTTTCGTTGGATGCACTGCAACCACTGTGTAAACATCAATGACGAGATCAAGAACATTTTGAGCACCAAACAACACACGCATTTGAATCATCCACCAATTCCAGTTATTTGCATCAAATACTTGAAGCTTTGTGTTCAACCTACTGTTTTCGCTGTTCATCTTCGTTCTTATGCAAATTCACTCAGGTCTCACCAACACTCGTGTTTCCCAATACCGCAGAATCAAGAAATGTGATTCTGTTTCGATTTCGATCGTAAATTCAATGCGGATTCATATGAATCTAACTGAAATTTTATATACCAATTATTGGGGCACAAGGTTAAAGATGAAAATAAAGATGAGAGGAGAGAAAAGAGTGTAACTAACTTTTCTAACAAACTTTCTCAAATTGTAGAAAATGAAATAGTATCTGTTACAATTAAGGTCATTAGTTTATATACTAACGCCACTGCCAAAACTAGGAAACTTATGAAAATGAATTATAGATAACATATGTTTGTTTCTATGATTCCTTTGTGTACATGTGCATTCTCCATGCTTAGATGATTTCAACATAACCACGTACCCTTCTCCATACTCAATTTCAATTAACTTTGAGATTTGATGTTGGATTATCATCTCAAACATCAAGATTCATTTCTTATTTTTGGATAATAATAATCAAATTATAATCGAATATAAAAATAACATGAAAATAAAATATTAATCATTTATCTAAATTGGTCTATAACTATTTGATTATATTAGAATATCTAAAAGGGTTAGTAGGTATTTGCCCTTAGCCATATGAGTGAGCGTTGAAAACAGTAGCAACTGATACCACTCTTGAAAGCTTTAAGCAAAAGTGAGAATTGAACTACGGATTTTTCTGATTTATTTATTATCCACGCTGTAAGTAGCTGTATTTTATAGTATGTAACTTATGTGCAATGTGCATGACACAATACTACTGGGTGTTTTACTATTGTGTATTCCACAAAATTACTTTACTATTATGAATTTGTGTAAGGCAGGGTTTGACACACCCTTTTGGAATCTTCACAATAGAGCTTCATGCCTTCATTCATATATTTGAACATTTGAACTCTCATTTCAGTAGTATAACATATTACTAGATCGTTGTTCAAATAAGTTTATACATTAATTAAGCTGGCTTCAATTTAATCCAATAGAATATGAGATTTATTTGGTCTTTCAATAATCTGCCCATGTAGAAACTATTATTTTACTGTCATTCTCATGATTTAACAGTGATAGAAACTAGTTCTTTATATAATAGAGTTAATGCAATTTCTCATATTCATTAATACAAACAAAATTACAATATACAGGATAACACACATAATAACATTAGGATAATTATTCTAAACTCCTTACTTAATAGTCTAACAGACAACTAATTAAAGTGACGACATCTCAATCTTTAACATAGTAAATTGAGGTTTATTTTAAAACAAACTTACTAGTTTATAGAAACAAGACCTTATTTAGTGCACAAATAAGACCTTACAGTACACATAAATTACAGAAAGTAAAAGCTTAGGAACAACATGAAAAAGTTTGGAAATGACACATATACCAACTAACAAAGATATAAACTAGTAGTTTCCTTTTGTTCACATGGTGGCAACTGGTGTGGAAACCGGTGGGCGTGGCACCCATAGAATGTGCTTAACAGGGAAAAAATGGCACAGTGGAGCATCCCCAGGCTTCATTCCAAGTAGGTCAAATATAAAATGATTAGGATTCATGTCAGATGTGTCTAGGTGGCAAATTCCCAAAGCATTCATTATGTCTCCATCTTCACCCTTTAGAAGAACTTTGAATATCTTACTCCCTATGTCTAGGTAGTGGCAATAGTAAAGAGCATATGGGTAAGGCCTAGGGTGACATGCTACCCATTTAGGAGCATAGATATCTTTTGAGATATCCAAAACAGTGTAGTTCTGCAAACGTGCACCTGATGGTGTGGGATGGCTAGTCGAGTGAGTGCTATAATTAGTTTCGGAACCAATAACACTGTGAACAAATTCAAGCATGGACTCTAAAGAAGTAGGACAAGCCTTGGTCTCCCCTTTGTTGGGTGGAAACTCACATTGATTAATTACGTCTATCATGTCTTGACCTTGAGGAGAATCTTTTGTGAGTGAGAATAGATCTAGAAGGCTTGGAACTTGTGATTTGGAAAAAGGAATGTCATCGGCAACTTTTCTTGGCAAGAACTTAGCATATTCTCGGATAGGAAATTGCAAGGTCATTACACTCCCTACATAAAGATCTTCTATACCGAAAAAAGCTACCTTGAATGCTTCTGTATGATCAACTTTCGAAGATAGTTTTCCGTTTGATTCTGCCAAATCTTGTCTAATTTTCATGTGGTTCACTGCATGAGAGTCTTTCAACCAACCATCAAGGTAAGCTTGCTTGGAATGCGGGATAGATTTTGAGATCTCAACATGACTATCTTTCAACCAACCATCAAGGTAAACTCGGTTGAAGTTAGAGGAGGAATTGTCTTTCTCAACTTGTGTATCTTTCAACCATCCATCAAGGTAAACTTGGTTGGAGTCAGGGTTGGATTTCGCGTTTTCGCCTCGGGTATCTTTCAACCATCCATCAAGGTAAACTTGGTTGGATTCAGGGTTGAATTTTGCATTTTCGGCTCGGGTGTCTTTCAACCATCCATCAAGGTAAACTTGGTTGGTATCAGGGTTGGCTTTTGCTTTCTCAACCCGAGAATCTTTCAACCATCCATCAAGGTAAACTTGGTTGAAGTCGGGGTTGGATTTTGCTTTTTCAGCTCGGGTATCTTTCAACCATCCATCAAGGTAAACTTGGTTGGAGTCAGAGGTTGGTTTTGCTTTCTCAACTCGGATATCTTTCAACCACCCATCAAGGTAAACTTGGTTGGAGTCAGAGTTAGATTTTGCTTTCTTAGCTCGAGTATCTTTTAACCATCCATCAAGGTAAACTTGGTTGGAGTCATGGTTGGATTTTTCTTTCTCATCTCGGATATCTTTTAACCAACCATCAAGGTAAACTTGGTTGGAGTCAGGTTTAAATTTTGCTTTCTCGACCCGAGTATTTTTCAACCATCCATCAATATAAACTTGGTTGGAGTCGGGATTAGTTTTGGATTTCTCGGCTCTAGTATCTTTTAACCATCCATCAAGATAAACTTGGTTGGAGTCAGGGTTGAATTTTTCTTTCTCGACTCGGGTATCTTTCAACCATCCATCGAGGTAAATTTGGTTGGACTCAAGGTTAGCTTTTGCTTTCTCGGCTCTAGTATCTTTCAACCATCCATCAAGGTAAACTTGGTTGGAGTCGGGGTTGACTTTTGCTTTGTCGGCTCGGATATCTTTCAACCATCCATCAAGGTAAACTTGGTTGGAGTCAATATTGGATTTTGCTTTCTCGGCTCTAGTATCTTTCAACCAGCCATCGAGGTAAACTTGGTTGGACTCAGGATTGACTTTTGTTTTTTCGTCTCTGGTATCTTTCAACCATCCATCAAGGTAAACATTGTTGGAGTCAGGGTTTGATTTTTCTTTTTCGACTCGGGCATCTTTCAACCATCCATCAAGGTAAACTTGATTGGAGTCAGGGAAATGTTTTTGGTTCTTCAGTTGAGTGTTTTTGAGCCAGCCATCAAGGTAAGGTTGACCAACTTGGCTCATATCTCTTGCAAAGCTTTCATGGCCATTCTACAATATAATTGAATAAAAGAGATATTAATGAGTGACAAATTAATTATATGTTTTGGATGATATACATGATTAAAAAACACGAGTGTGTTATGAAACACATTTTGTTGTATAGTGGAAGAAATATTCATTATATATATGTATAATAAATAAATACATAATTTGAAACATAAAAAATAGGAAGTAGAATATTTTTAATTACATTACAACAAAAAATAACATAATTTTATTACATTACAACAAAAAATAACATAATTTTATTAAATAGTATAAAACAACTTGATTCCGAGTGTATTGAATACATGAAAAACAACTAAGGAGAAAGATCTTATAAGCATGCATTAAATTCAATATGCATATAGATTGCAAATAAAGATGAAAATGATAGAATATGAACATGTTGAATTTTATTAAATTTAACATGTATGTACAATTGCAAAACAAAGATCAAAATGATAGATTATGAACGTGTTGAATTTTATTAAATTTAACATGCGTGTACAATTTCAAAACAAAGATAAAAATGATAGATTATAAACATGTTAGAATTTTATTAAATTTAACATGGATGCACAATTGCAAATAAATATGAGAATGATAGATTATTATCATAAATAAATGATGAAAAATGTAAGTGTAAAATATAAAAGCATGTATTCAAAATTAGTAACTCACAATCAACAAGAGCAGGAGAAAAGGGAGGAGAGACAAAACAACTCTGTATGCCATTTCTTTTTGTTATGTTTGTGGGAAAATTATTTTGCTGTGAAATATGAATTGGAGTGAAAGTGAGCTGAGCTATTTATAGGCAAGTAAGGAGGATATTAAGACTTTGTTTGGCAAAATCATTTTTTAGTTCATGTTTTAAAAATATGTTTGGCAACTGGAATCTTGTCATATACTTATAGCTTATTTTTATCAATTTATAACTTATTTTTGATAAGTTATTTCAATTAGTATATAATATATCTCTTTTTTTTTTCAATTCTACTGTTGTAATTTTAATTGAAATATATAAAAAAAAAATTAAACATATCATTTAAGTTAGATTAATTTTATAAATTTAAGTTGCTACCTTATCACCTTATCAGTGCTATGCAATAGATTAATTCATTTATTTCTTTTTTTAATCAAAAAGAACTTAACCTTAAAAAATGATGTAAGGTATGAAAAAGAGAGTTGTTTCTGTGATCTTGTGTGTATTTTTAAAATTGTTTGTAAAATGTAGAGGACAAAAAGATGATAATCACATGTAAGTTCATTTTTTTTCTCTCAACTGTACCTCTATTATCTGAAAGCTGTTAGGTGAAAGGGTAGATTATCAACTATAGGTTATTTTTTTACCAAATAAATCCATAGTGTCAATATTTTGTTGATATAAAAACAAAGTTAATAAGAAATGTTCATCATTATCAGTTTTTATGCATAATATTCTTAGTCGAATTGTAATGATATGTCCAACTTAACATTATCATTATGTTGATTATATCTTGAGGATTGTAAATTTCTTATTTAATTAATTATATTTGGACATGTAATTTAACATTAAAACTGTAACAAAATCACAATAATAGTCTAGTTTTGTTAAATTGAATGTTATAGGTATTTGATAGTAGGGAGCAAGTATACATCATAAATATGACTCACCTGTGCTATGTTTGTAGGTGCTCAGTAGTAGGGAGTAGACTTGTATACATCATGAAAATGACTTAGATGTTTTGGTTATTGTAATCTTCTAACAAATTTTTTATCAGCAAGTCCTAGGAATTTACAACATAGGTGTAAATAATAATGAATATGAATTCAGACTTTAAGATAAAATAGTGTCACAAGTTAAACCGACACAATCACATGTATAGTTTTTAATGTTTTTTATTTAAGTAAGATGACATGATAAATTATAAAAAGGTAAATATCTAAAAACTAAAAGTTCTTAAATTAATGAGTAAAAGTATTATAAGTAGCATTTTTTGGTTTAGTTTTTTTGATTTAATGTCAAATTTTATCATTAATAAATGTTAACATACCAAAAACTTGAAAGGTTTCAACTTATATTTTTTGTCAAATGTTTGTAATAGTATATATGATTAATAAATTATGTATTATGTACTACATATATGAAACATATGACAGTATGCACAACTATGTACTCCATATTACACTTGACAGAGATTCAAACAAAAATAGCATATTTGCTATTTTTTTAAATTACACATTTGTTAAGCTTTTGAGATCAAGTAAAAAAACCGTTGTCATTGATTTTTATTTATATTAGTAGAAAAATTTATAAGCACTTATGTGAAAACTTACCGGCGAAATCTATAATTTGAACGTTGGTAAGAAATTCTTTTTATACACATATTTATTAATTTGTTTGATATCTAATTATTCTCACTAGATAGTATTACAAACACAAATTTAATTTTTATATTTTATATATAATTTAGGGGTGTTCGCGGTTCGGTTTGGATCGGTTTTAAGATAAAAAATTATCTGATCCAAAGATAAATTTACTTGCAGTTCGGTTCGGTTTTGGATGATATATTAAAAAAATCCAATCCGATCCAATCCAATTTTATACGGTTTAATTTGGATCGGTTTTTGGATATCCAAATTACACATTATATTTTTATTAATATTATAAAACTACTAATAAATCATAGATTTGATATAATATATAACATATAGTATATTAAAAGTTAATATTACAAAATGAGAGTGGTTGATTATGATTGAAATAATAAAAATAAATAAATTATACCAAGCTAATAACTATTATTAAAAAAATTATTATCATCTAATAATAATTTCACATAGCATATCATGCTAATAAAAAGTAAATAAGTATAAAAATATATGTATGCAGTTTAGTTTGGTTTGGATCGGTTTTGAAAAATTAATCCGAAATCCTATCCGAACTGATCGATTTTCACAAAATAACATCCAAACACATTCAATAAATTTCCGTTTTTTGAATCGATTTTCAATTTTTTATTTGGATTTGTTTAAATTTGAACATCCCTAATATAATTAATGTATTTCATAATAATACAGTCTGAATAACCGAAACAGTATTAGAGGAGTCCCCATACTAGGTTTTTAGATTTTGTGCAAAAGGATATCATTAATCTTCTGGTACCGACTCATAGGAATTCACAACATAGAGAACAATGAATCATGACTTTAAGACAAAATAGTGTCACAAGGTATTTTGCATGTTTGACAAGTAATGTTACCTAGCCCAATTGCCTCAGAACCTTTCATTATGCGAAGACGTTTGCATGATTGAACAAACATTCTGAAATTTATAAAGATGAACATTAAATTAGTATCCCATAATTATGATTATTACACTAAATTTGAAGTGAAAAAGGATGGAAACTTACTCCCAACAAACATCTCCAACAAGTATCCAATCACCATCTTTGTCTTCATAGGTTGGTACATAATAATCAGAGCCGTTCAAGAGGTCAATCAATTTGCTTTCATTCATAAAGTCTTTGGTGACTTGGGACCCACAGTTGTCAATTGTGAAAGAACTGAACATTTTAGTCAGCGCGTCTGACAGCTCTTGGTAGAGCTTGTACAAGTTAAGGTGCACCATCCATGCTCACCTTAACAAATGCTCCATTTCCAACATCACTTCTGATTCATTGTTGCTCTTTTGAACATTCACTATGTTCTTTCTGAAGGATCTAACTGGTGCCCTGAAAATTCAATAGTAATTTTTAATTAAATTATTAGAGAGAGACACACGCATAAAAAAGGACAGGGCGTGTGTGTGGACCAGGGCTGGACAAAAAAACCGAATCCAATCCGAACCAAATTAACCGATGAATTAAAAAAATAAATGGATGACAAAAATGAAACCGATTTAATCACGGTTCACCATTTTCGGTTTCAGATGGTTTGTTACGGTCGAAATCGGATTTATAATGTAAATTCATAATAAATTTAAACCGACCGAGACACACATTGTTCCCATATTTTTTTTCCATGCTATCTGTATCCAACCTACACGTAGCTTTCATTTTTTTTCAATACTATTAAACTTCATTAGCTTAGAGTACTAATAGTATTTTTTTTGTCTCTTTTTTATCATAGATTACCGACACACTCAACCTCAACCATGCCTAGTATTATTTTTTTATGAAAAGTGTAGGTATGAAAATCATACATACCCAAATACCTATCCTCTCTGTTTTTCTTCTCTCTCACAACACACTTCTTCTTTGTGGAAGACAAAAAAATTATACTTCTAACACAAAAAATTATAATTTCTTCTGCTCACTATAGATTCAGAATATTCTATCCATTTCATTTGATCATTATGCTTTCTAAATCCAATTAGAGGAGGTGTGAGAAACATGATTAACCTTTAATATATATCAAAAATTGATTTGCTTCTCTTTTCTCAGTTTTTTTCTTCTGATAGTTTTGTTGCGGAAGATAATAGAGATAGTATTCAGTAACAAACCCGAATAAAACCACCCGTCGAAACCGCCAACCGCCAAAACTCTCAACCGAAAAACCGAATGCATAAACGGACGGAAATGGGCTTGAGTTGTCTAATCGTGGATATGTTCGGATCGGCATTTTCAGTCCGTCACCGA